ACATGTCCAAACCACTGTCCCTCCTCTGGACATGTCCAAACCACTGTCCCTCCTCTGGACATGTCCAAACCACTGTCCCTCCTCTGGACATGTCCAAACCATCTCAGTGTGTCCTCTCTAACTTTATCTCCCAGTTGTTCAACATGTGCTGTACCTCTGATCTCATTCCTGATCTTCTCCATCCTTGTTACTCCTAAGGAGAACTTCAACATCTTGATTTCTGTCACTTCCAGTTCTGTCTCCTGTCTTTTTGTCCATGTCTCTGTCTCCAGACCATACAACATAGCTGGTCTCACCACTGTCTTGTAAACTTTTCCTTTGACCTTTGCTGACACCCTTTTGTCACAAATCACTCCTGAAACTTTTCTCCATTCACTCCATCCTGCCTGGACTCTCTTCTTCACCTCTTTACCACACTCCTAATTTTCCTGGACAGTGGACCCCAAGTACTTGAAGTCCTCTTCTACACAGAATGTAGTCGACCTGCATACTCCTTCCTCCACTCTTGTAGGTCACTCTGTGTTCCTCCCTCTTTTGGAAATAGGTGTTAACTACAGCCATTTCAATTCTCTTGGTGAAATCCACCACCATCTGTCCTTCCTGGTTTCTTTCCTTGACACCAAACCTACCCATCACTTCCTCCTCCTCCGTTTCCTTCACCAACATGTCCATTCAGGTCTGCTCCCATCACCACTCTCTCCTCCCTGGGAATACTCTCCATCACTTCATCCAGATCTTTACAAAATGTATCTTTCTCCTCATCACATCCAACCTGTGGAGCATAACCACTGACAATGTTTAGCATCAGACCTACTTCTACCTTCAAGGCACATCACCCTATCTGACACTCTGATCACCTCTACTACATTCTTTGCCAACTCCTCCTTCAGGACCACCCCTACTCCTTCTCTCTTTCTATCCACACCATAGTAAAACAGTTTAAACCCTGCTGTGAGCCTTGCTGCCCTCCTACTTGGTCTCTTGGACATATAAAACATCTACCTTCCTTCTCAGCATCATGTCAGCCAGCTCTCTACCTTTGTCTGTCATTGTCCCCACATTTAGAGTTGCAACCCTCAGTCCTAAATTCTTCACTTTCCTCTTCTCCTTCTGTCTCCTGACATGTTTCCCTCCTCATGGTCTTCCACTAACAGTAGCACCATTTCTGCCGGCACCCTGTTTGTCAACAGCACCGGTGGTGGTCGTTGTTAACCCGGGCCTCGACCAATCCAGTATAGTTTCTCTTTGATGAACTCGCATTATGGTTTTGGCAAAAGTGTTTTACATCGGATGCCATTCCTGACACAACCCTCACCATTTACCTGGGCTTGGGATCGGCACAAAACTGGCTTATGCTACCTAGTGGCTGGTTTCTTCTATTGAAGCACCCACATAAAAAATATACCATGTTTGGCTCAGCTGTGAGACGTGTGCTAAAACAAACCTAATAGGAAACAAATTCAATCTTCCTAAAACTATGTGCTCTTTGGAACGACTGTACATGTTTTAATGAAACTACCGAGGAACCTCTTAGACGGATTAGTTTTTTGGGTCAATCATATTTAAGATGGCCACCACAGCTACATTAGCAAACACAAAAATGGCTATAACTCAATGGGTTTTGTATATACCAAACTAAAATTTTATTTGGTACTGGCTGACAGTGATCCCCAACAAGCATTCCTTTGCCAAACCTTTGTCAGAATAAAACCAAAAAATGTCTTGTGAACTACTGGACAACTATAATTCAACTATCAGAAAGTAATCTTTATACAAACATCTAAAACTGATGTTTTATGGAGTTTACCTGACTGAAGATGGCTGTCAGAGCTATCTTAGCAAGGAAAGAAATGGTTGAACCTCATAATTTTACAGATATTGAGATAAAATTTGGTGTGGTACTAGCTGAGTATTTCCTAACACATAACCCGAGTGTAAGTAAGTTCTGACCTCACCAGCCATTTACACGGACATACGGGTTATTTTGACTCCACATGTACCACACAAGGCCTTAACCGCAGCTAGATTTATGAATATCATTTGCATTTTTGTTTGGCATTTTAAAATTATTTTTCTCCTTTAAGACATGGAAATAAAAATATATATTTTTTTATTGCAATTCACCTCTGTCTCTGTAAAATCTTGAGGGGGTTTGTGTTGGTTGTGTGTCTTACCCTCTTCCACGTGGCCAGAAGTTGTTTGTCAGCCATTTGTTCTGGGTAATCAGCCACTGCAAACACACAGCTGAGCAGGAAGCTGTCCAGTGGAACTGAGAATGCAACAGAAATAACATGATTCACATGACACTATAGGCTTAGACCAGGAGTGGGAAACCTTTGGCCTCCAGGACGTATAAGACCTTCACAACTAGGGCCCAATCGATATGAACATTTAGGTTATCGCTGATACCCATATTGGGAGGGATAATGGCAATAACCGATATATTGGCTGGAAAAGTTTGAGCTTGGTCCACCCTCAAGAATCTAAGTAAACAGCTATTTGTAAACCTGTTCTGAACAGTCTTCCTAACGTGCGTTCACATTTTCTAGCTTCCACTATTCACCATAACGTTATCAAGTGTGTTACATAAATATAAATTAAAGAAATAAACAACCTTCCCTGGTCATTGTTTAAACAGTCAGTCATGTATTGTATGTATAGACGGAGTCAGTCTCCCCACCATCACAGACATCTATACCTCTAGTTGCAGGAAGAGGGCCACCTGCATCATGAAGGACCACACTCACCCAGCACACACACTTTTTGCCCCGCTCCCCTCAGGAAGGAGGTTGAGGAGCATTAAGTGTAGAACCACTAGACTGAAGAACAGCTTCTACCCTGAGGCTGTTAGACTCATGAATCTCTAACCAGGATAATTACTGTGAAAAATCACATCATGTTGCTGCTGATCTGTTTCATGTTGCTGCTGATCTGTTCCATGTTGATGTGTTCATGCATGCTCATCTGCTCACACAGACTCATGTTCATATTTGTGCTGTTCAACGTATTGTTTTTATGCTATTAGTACTTAGTGTATATTTAGTTGATGTTTTTCTCAGTTCATATCTTAGATCTTACCACTGTTTTTCTTTTACATTTTATTGTTGGATGTAACTGGGACCCTGTGTACATAATTTCGCTCCACCACATGGACCACATGAGGTAAATGGTAAATGGACTGTACTTATACAGCACCTTTCTATCTTTTTTCAAGATACTCAAAGCTCTTTACAACAATCTGTGCCTCATTTATCCAGTCATACAGCTCTATACTAGATCTCTGCAAAGCTAATTGAACAAATCATTCTAAAGAGACTGATCAGAGCTTTATCACATTCATACACTGATGGGACACACATCAGAGGCTATGAGGGGTTCAGTGTCTTGCCCAGGGACACTTCAGCATGTGACTGCTGGTGGATTCGAACCCCCAACTCTCGCATTGGAGGACGACTGCTCTAACCACTCAGCCACAGCCGCCCCTAGGTGCAAACGACAATAACGGATCTCTGACTCTGATGTATAATTGACACCAAATGCATATGTAATCATGTTTATAAATGTGCTTGGTAGAGTTTTTTGAGGTCATAAATCGTGTCCTGATAGGACAAGATGTGAAGAGATCTTTTTTGTAATGCCACTATCCATCCTCATGGCCTTTAGCCTTTTCTGTCTCTTAAAAGCATTCTGAAAAAAGATAAGGGGCCGCGCTCTAAGGAGCAGCAGCAACGTGCACACCGCCCTTCTTTTGGATGACCGTACGAACATAATCTCACTGTATTTCGTTGAAATGATAATAAAACTTATTCTGATTCTGAAATGACAGCTCTAGTATGACTGGGTAAACAAGGGCACAGGTTGTGTTGACAAGCACTTTGAGTGTCTTGATAAGACAGAAAGTCCAGTCCATTTACGACAGTGAAGAGCAACCTCCCTTAAGAGCACTTGGGACTCAAACGGTAGGTAATGGACTTCATGTTATTTTATAGCACCTTTCACAGATAAAAATCACAAAATGCTTTGCATATAGAAAAGCTTTCAAACACATCTGTTCATGATATAAAGAAAAATATTTTCTTCTGGTCTAAAAACAAAACTGAAAATTGCATCAGCCATATATACAACAATTTTCAGTCAGGTCGTCTGGACAGTTTCTTTTTTTGTGCTGAAACCTTTCACCTTCCATCCAGAAGGCTTCATCAGTCAAGGAAACACACAACAAAACTGATTCTTCCCCCAACAGCTTACTCCAATGTAGAACAAAACCAGTTATGTTGATACTAAGATGGTGTTTCCTTGACTGATGAAGTCTTCTGGATGGAAGGTGAAACGCTTCAGGACAAAAAAAAAGAAAATGTCCAGATGACCTGACTGAAAATTGTTGGGTTGTATACCTGGATTATTGAGCTTGGACTTGGTTCATAGATACAATCGTACGTGCAATTTTTGGAGGAATTAAAATATTAGTTGGTGTTTTGAAAGGCAACAAATGTTAAAATAAAAATAAAAAAACTTGTAAATGTTTGTAAAAAAAAAAAAGTGCACGTGTGGTGATTGATAAATTGAGTTCCATCATTTTATAAGTGTAGCATGATTTGAGCTGAGAACTTCCTGCACCTGACATGCTCCTGAAAGAAGAGGAAGGTTCCAGCAGCGCCAACGTGTCTGCCCCATGACGTGACGAGTCACGTGGCCGTACTTACTGTCTTGTCCCGGCTCATGTCCAAACAGCTGGGAGATGTGAGGCAGCTGCTGGAAGATCTGCTGATTCTGATGTTGCTGACTTTGGAGCTGCTGTTTCTGCATCTGCAAGAGATGCTGCTGCTGCTGCTGCTGCTGAAGGTGCTGCTGATGGAGCTGCTGTTGGTTCTGCTGCTGTAACATGTGCATACGCTGCTGCTGCTGATACTGTTGCAGCTGCTGTTGCAGCTGCTGCAGACCGGGTCGGAGGAGCTGCTGGGGTCGCAGCTGCTGCTGCTGCTGCTGCTGCTGTGAGAACAGCTGCTGCTGATGAAGAAACTGCTGCTGCTGCTGTGGGAAACCCTGTTGTTGAACAATCTGTGACTGTTGCAGCTTCATCAGCTGTTGTTGCTGCTGGAGGTGCATCATGGGATGCTGTGACTGCTGTGGTAGCTGCTGATGCTGCTGGGCTGCCTGGTGTGACTGCTGCAGAGACTGCTGCTGCTCTGCCACTTTGGCCTGACTGAACAAAGGAAGGTTGGTGCTGTTGGGGGTCTGAGTGTGGCTCAGGTGCGTCTGATCCAAAGGCTTGATTTGACTACCAGTCAGGTTTGGAATGATCTGAAAAAAAAAAAGGTCAAGTTTACACAAAGCTCTGATCCAAACTTTTTAATCCTCTTGCTCATCTGATAACTTCCAGGACATGAAAGAACTGCTGATGGTTCTGTGTCACATACCACTGCAGACCTGCGGGGGGGGGGGGGGGGGGGGGGTGACAGATGACAGTCATTACTAGTTTTTGGCCTATAAGTCACAGTTTTTGCATAATTTACATGCCCTGTGACGTATACACCAAAGTGACTTATTTATGGAGTTTTTCCCATATTCATTAAATACATTTAGAACTTTATATTACTCATCTTTAATAGAGGAGAATAAAAATAACCCTAGGTTTCTGGTTAGTACTATTGCTAGACTAATTAAAAGTCCCATTTCTGTTGAACCATGTATCCCTACAACTAGAAGTAGTGATGACTTCATGAGATTCTTTATAAATAAAATTATTTCAATTAGAGAGAAAATTCAAACCATCCTTCCTTCTACTATCTCTAGTCCCCTGTCAAATGAGGCAACTTTAAAAATTTCACTAGAACCTGATTTATGTTTGGACAGTTTTTGTCCTGTTGAGCTCTGAATTGTCAAAAATAATAACCTCATCCAAACCATCCACATGCCTGCTAGATCCCATCCCAACCAGACTGTTTAAAGAGGTATTCCCCCTAATTAATGTCCACATTTTGGATCTACTTAATTTGTCTTTAATGAATGGTTATATACCACAGCGATTTAAGGTTGCTGTAATTAAACCTTTACTTGAGAAGTCTGATCTTGATTCAGAAATTCTGGCCAACTATAGATCTATATCTAATCTAACTTTCATCTCAAAAATTCTAGAGAAAATAGTTGCAGGTCAGTTGCGTGAACATCTACAAATAAATAATCTATTTGAAGAGTTTCAGTCAGGGGTTAGAGCTCATCATAGCACAGAAACAGCACTAGTAAAAGTCACTAATGATATTCTCATGGCCTCAGACAATGGACTTGTGTCTCTACTGGTCCTGTTAGACCTCAGTGCTGCATTTGATACAGTTTATCGCAATATTTTACTACAGAGGCTTGAATATGATATTGGAATTACAGGAACAGCTGTAAAATGGTTTAAATCATATCTATCTGAAAGATTCCAGTTTGTAAATGTAAATAATAAATATTTTTCATACACCAAAGTTAATCATGGAGTTCCTCAGGGCTCAGTGCTTGGGCAAATACTCTTTACTTTATATATGCTTCCATTAGGTAAAATTATTAAACAGCATGGGATAAATTTCCATTGTTATGCTGATGACACACAATTATATTTGTCCATTAAACCCAATGAATCCAATCAGCTACTTAGACTACAAGCATGTCTTAAAGACATAAAAACCTGGATGACCCTTAATTTTCTCCTGTTGAACACAGACAAAACAGGTTTTGGTTTTTGGACCTGAGCACCATAGGAATGAATTTTTCAGTCTTTCTCCCTCCTTAGATGCATTAATCTGTCCTCCAGCTCTAATGTTAAAAATCTTGGTGTTATTTTTGATCAGGACATGTCTTTTATCCCCCACATTAAAAACGTTACTAGAACCTCCTTCTTCCACCTGCGTAATATCACTAACATTAGAAACATCTGATCTAAATATGATGCAGAAAAACTGGTCCATGCATTTGTCACGTCTAGACTGGACTATTGCAATGGTTTATTATCTGGATGTCCAAATACTTCTTTAAAACGTCTTCAGTTGATCCAAAATGCTGCTGCCAGAGTCTTAACCGGAGTTCTATTTCATCCCTCCTGATCGCCAGAGGGCGGTGCTGAAAGCACTGAATGTTCCCTTCGCGCATGCGCTGTTCGAGTAATAATACCAACGGAGTCACAGGTGTGACACGGATGACCAATCAGAGGCTATATAGCCCGACGTTATCCGCTGCTCTGCTCCTTTTTTCTTCTCGTGCGCGGTTCAATTCAGGGCTTCAGCCCTTTGGACCTTTTCTGAACTTTTTACCGTCGTCGGAAGCCCGACTGCCCGTCTGCGGGAGTAGCGTGTTTGCCCTCCTAGGGCTGCGACGGTTTAACCCTGTTCAAAGGTATTTCTGCTGTTTCGTTGGGGACTATGGCGGTTTTCGCCTCTCCCAACTTACAGCGTCTGACTACTATGTGTGTGATTCAACACCGGTGAGTAGTGTTTTTCCTTATATTTCGCCGTTGGTTAGCAGTAGCTTTCGCTCCGCTCCCGCTTGTTGGGAGACCTCCAACCGCGTGGTCGGCTGGACTGTGCTCCGACATTGTTTATGACTACTATGTGTGTGATTTAACACTGGTGAGTAGTGGTTTTTTGCTTATATTTTGCTATTGGTTAGCGGTAGCGTTCGTTCCGCTCGTTTACTGGAGGCCTCCAACCACGTGGTCGGTTGGACTGTGCTCCGAAGTTTGCTTATTACGTAGCCAGCTGAGTTCCTGGCCTTGTTTTCATTGGTGAAGGCGAACGTTTTCACCCCCTCTCCCAATTGTCCTCTTACCAGCTGAGCTAGCGGTGCTAGCCTCTATGAGTTTTGGCCTTGTTTTCATTGGTGAAGGTGAGCGTTCGCACCCCCTCTCCCAATTGTCTTCTCTTACCAGCTGAGCTAGCGGTGCTAGCCTCTCTGAGTATCTTGGACATAGCTGGGTAAGGAGCATGGACGGCTCTCACTGGTGTACAGTCTGTGGAGCCATGCTCCAGACAGATGATGGTCACAACCTGTGTCCTGCCTGCCTTGGACATGACCATCTGGTGGATGCCGTCAGAGAACCTCTGCATGAATTGCAGCTTCATGTCGCATGCTGTGAAGGTGGCCCGGCTGGCCCAGTTTCGTCCCAAACTCGGCGACGACCTCCCGCCTTCTGGGCAGGAGGCTCCACCTAGGCGCTCGAAGCGCCGGACTGAGGCCGCAGTCTCTGTGGCCCCTCCTAGAAAGAAGCGAGCCAGGTCTGATAGAGGCCTCTCCACAAGGGTGGAGCAGTTCTCTGCTGAATTAGCGGAGATGAAGTCCCTTTTTCAGGTATGCCAACTGGGAACTGAACCAGTGGCAGCAACCGGACTCTCCTCCCCACCCATGCCTGAACTGGCTGCGGAGGAAGATGTGCTATCCTTGGCTGCCTCTGCCTCTCACTTTTTAGGTGAGGAGGACGGGCATTCATCTCAAGTCTCAGAGACAGCTTCACTTTCTTCTTCTCGGAGCACAGTTAGTGGGTCGGGTGACGGCTTGATGCAGATGGCTGAGTGTTGGCGGCCATGCATGAGCCGGCTGCAGCAGGCTTGGATCGCATGCCAGCGATAGAACCTGCTGTTGCCTCTCTGATCGTGTCACCAGAGGAAGCTTTGTGCAGTCATGTTCGGTGCCCACGAGCTCAGTGTTGTGTCAAGGATTAATTCCTCTGCGGAGCCAATGCCGCTGGAGCGCGTGCTGGCCACTTAGGTAATTCCTTGGCACACCTCATGCTTGCCCTCTCCGCGTCCCTTCAGGGGACTAGTGGTGCGACAGCAGCAATGGGCTTTAACAATGCAGCGCTTCAGGCCTTTGCACTAATGACGAGGGAGCTTGGGCGCGTGATGTCCTCCTTAGTCCAGGCTCGCCGACAGGTCTGGTTGGTGCAGTCAGCATTGACTGAGCCATGCCGTAGAGCCCTCCGTAATGTCCCAGTGGTACCGGGGGAGTTGTTTGGGTCGGCTGCCTTGGAAGCACTGGAACGGACTGTCCAGGCATAACAGAGAAGGCAGCAATTTTCAAGCCTTAGCAGGGCAATGCCCTCTCCACCTCCTCGGCATCCAAGGCGCCCGTCGGCTGACTCCAGCATGCAGCAACCGCCTGGGGGTCATAACCGGCCGGGTGGCCCTTACCCTCATGCGGTTCAGCAAAGGCCCAGCAGGAGCTTTCGTGGGTCAGTCCACCGACCAGCTGGACAGGCTCGGACCAGGGACTCTGGCTGCCGCCCTCCCACAGCCCCTAGGGGCCATGGAGGGAGACGGTGATGCCATCAGGCCAACCGTCGGATATTTCTCCCACCAGCAGCTCAGCTACTGGGCTGCTCACGCCGTGGACCCATGGGTGGTTGCCACTCTGACCCATAGTTACCGGCTACAGTTCCGACGGCGGCCTCATATCTCATGCCGGGTCAAGATGACTGTAATCGCCGACCCGGTGAAAGGTCGAGCACTAAACCAGGAACTTTCCGCCCTCCTGGCCAAGGGCGCAATAGAGGCAGTGGACCCTCTGCAACAACCCAGGGGCTATTACTCGACTTAGTTCCTCGTGCAAGAGGACGGGCGGGTTTCGTCCCATTTTAGACCTGAGGGGACTCAACCAGTACCTAAGGGAGCTGCCCTTCCACATGCTCACGACAGCATAAGTCCTTCAAGCTGTCATGAGGGAAGAATGGTTCACGTCTGTAGACCTGAAGGATGCGTATTTTCATGTGCCTATTACGGCAGAACATCGCTGCTTTCTCAGGTTTGCCTATCGGGGTCACCACTGGCAGTTCCGGGTACTCCCATTCGGGCTCTCTCTCTCCCCAAGGGTGTTCACTCGGTGCGTGAAGGCAGCCCTCTCTCCTCTGCAGGCCTGCGGAGTGAAGATTCTGCCGTACTCAGACGATTGGCTTCTCTGCGCCCCGTCTCAGGCCTGTGCCTTTCACGACACAAACCGCCTGCTCGCTCATATGTCCCAGTTGGGCCTCAATGTCAACCTGGAGAAGAGCTGCCTGATCCCTTCCCAGACGACCACCTTTCTTGGGGTGGTTCTGGATTCATCTTCCATGAGAGCTCGCCCATCCGCTCAAAGGGTGGCCGGCATACTCTAGCTGGTCAATCGGTCCCGGCTGGGCAAGCAGCTCCCCTATGTTGCCTTCCTGCAAATACTCGGCAAGCTGACATCAGTCACTAGGGTGGTGCCCTTAGGCCTGCTGTCACTTCGCCCCTTGCAGAGGTGGCTCAACAGCTTTTGCCTGGATGCCAGGCTGCACAGGCATCACAAGCTCGCAG